TACAGAACCTGAACACTGAGCACTGGCTTACTGACTGGACACTACAGTACCTGAACACTGATTGGACACTACAGAGCCTGAACACTGAGCACTGGTTTACTGAGACTGGACACTACAGTACCTGAACGCTGATTGGACACTACAGAGCCTGAACACTGAGCACTTGTTTGCTGAGACTGGACACTATGGAACCTGAACACAGTACTAATTGCTTGATTAATTGCCAGGTGTGGTGGAAACCACAGGGATAACGACCCAGGCGCGCACCTCCTACCTTCCTGATGAGATCCTCTGGGGGCGGCGCTTTGTTCCTATAGTAACGGAGGAGGACGGGCGCTACTCGGTGGATTACTCCAAGTTCGGGAACACGGTCCCGGTCCGGATGTCCCCACTCAGTGCCAAGGAGCTGGACCAGAACAGGGGAGAGGCAGGGGGCGGGCACAGACTGGGAGGGGAGGAGCCGGGGCACATCCAGGACTGGGGATTGGTCAGGGCCGGAAGGGGAGGGTTCAGGAGAGGGGGCCGGGCCCACGATAGCTCCGCCCCTTGGTCTTCATCCTTCTCCTACTACTGTCGGCGAGAGGGAGGAGTGGAGGGAGAGGGGGAGAGGGGGAGAGAGGGCAGGAAGGGCAGGAAGGGGCAGAGAGCAGTGACGCTGGAGGAGATAGGGAGGGAGATCGAGGAGGAGGAGGAAGATGAGAGTGTGTGAGAGCCTGTTGACCTCTCTCTGCTCCCTGTCCTGCTGGCTGTGTTAATAACTGTGGGGCTCTCTGCTGTTACTTCTTCTGTTCTCACTGTGTCTCCTGTCCTGCTTAACACTGAGAGGTTCTGCTCTATCTTATTTTTTTCCATCCCTCTGAAGTGAAAATAATATACGGCATGTGTATGTATTTCAGATTAATCTTATTTATGATGTCATTAGGGCTGGAGAGCAGAGACATGTCTCAGAGAGGAAATACTGGGTTATCTGCTGCCCTGCTGCTCACACAGGAAACCCTGTGATAAATTCTCATTGTCTGACACAGAAGAAGGTTCAGTGACACTCTGTTTGTTGGGCCTGTGTGTGAGTGTGTGTGTGTTCAGTCTTGACGGTGTTCAGTGACTCTCAGTGTGCTGGCCTGTGTGTGAGTGTGCGTGTTCAGTCCTGACGGTGCTCAGTGACTCTCAGTGTGCTGGCCTGTGTGAGAGTGTGCGTGTTCAGTCCTGACGGTGCTCAGTGACTCAGTGTTCAGAGCTGGTGTGTGAGTGCGCTGGTGTTATTGCTGTATACTGTCTGCCTATGGCTCTGTTCTGGGGTGGCTTCAGTAAATCTCTTTTGAAAGAAACAGCACAGTAGCTCAGATTCTTCTTTCTGAGGAGGTTGACTCCACTGCCTGTGTCCCCTCGAGCACTGAAGGGCTGGGCGCTGACTGGGCCAGCCTGAGGGAAGTGCTCACTGAGACAGAGATTCCTCACTGATTGCACTTACTGTACCGGGCAGTCTTCTTCCCGAAATATCCCACAGAATATGGGTCTTCTACTGGTGGAG